ATATATATATATATATAAATCAACAAGAATTTGATCACTTAGGTGACGGTCTTCGACCTTGCCAGTCAAGGCCAACAGGGTTTGAATAAGATAGATTGTCCCATCAGAAAGATTGGGATATTCAGTGAAGATTTTACCCACTCACGAATCTAACTCAGGTCTTCTGTGTGCATGGTGTGGCGTCTAACAGTTAAACCACAGCCGCTGGTCCAGCTTTCCTAGCGAATCGGGAGCAGTCCCCTATCCTACAAAAGGTGCAACCACCACGGTTATGATGTAGAAAGCCCTCATACCCGGCCCCAACATTCGTGTAGCGTAAGGCCGAGAACCTAGAAAATAATCTAATATACTCTTTTGCTATGAAAAGCTCGCTCAAACAAAAGTACATGCTGGTGATACTTCTCACAGTTCCACTAGTTCCAGTGCCTTCTGCGTTATCTGTGTTTCAGCGAAACACTGTGAGGATCATCACAAGTATTAGTTCTTGACTGCTTGCTTGGAAAGAAGAACATGTATAATAAGACCTATCAGCGGCACCCTCCAACCACCCGCTCGTTTTTCAACAGTGTGACAATAACAATCCATTGACCGCTGTCTTTCCTCGGTGACGCTTTGACTTCAGTCCGCCCCTGACACCGCCGAACTGGGTACCGATTCAAGTTGTTCAGGAAGGAAAGAGCTGCCAAAAGACTGGCTGTCAACGTCGTTCTCTGACACCCGGCACTCACAAGGAACTCTAGAATCGACAAACATGCCAGTTGAAGTCTCACAACAGTCCGCTTGTGATTTACGACAAAAACACGACATCTATGACCTCTTTGTCCAGAGAGAGGGGACAAAATGTGTTGAAAGGACCCCCGGGGTGAAAGGGCATTTAAGCTCAGTAAAGATTGTGATCGTTCTCGCAGTTGTTTTTTCAAGCAAATTGCAACCTCGAAAGAGAGATGAACAGGAAGGGCAGAAACGAAACCAGGGTTTTATTTGTTATCCTTGCTGAAGTCTGGTTATCAATGACGGATATTTTATAGGTCTATGCTGTACAAGACTACAGTCTGATTTACTAAAAGAAAGAGACGGACATCTGCAGATCTGGCAGAGAGAGCAAGATGAGGCATGTGAGTGGACGCGAGACTAGAAGTAGGCCCCGAACTGACATCAATTGTGTTTTAGGTAAGATTTGGACAAATTATGGAATGAACACCCAAGCCATTTGTGGTGGGGGTAGGGGTGGTAGGTCTCCCCGCTGTTCCAGTAGTTAGACGTTTTGCAATAAACTATAAAATACTCTGTTTCTTGCCATTCTTCCTGCATTAGTTGAGGGGATTGGGGAATACTTGGCGGGGGGTCCGTTCATTGTTTGTTTGTTTTGTTTTTGTTTGTTTGTTTGTTTTGTACTCGTTCTCACTGTTCCAAAAGGTAAATTTCAAATCTTGGGGTGATCATACAAAGAGGAAGCTAAACAAAGTGGGGAGGTTTTCTGAGGTTAGAATAAGAGAGAACGAGTTTGTTGGGTGTTTTTTGTTTTGTTTTTTGTTGTTGTTGGGTTTTTTTGCAATGTAAAGTGTAGTGGACACTTTTTAACTCATTGAGGACGCATTATATTTAGTCATTATACATGTTTTAGGAGAAAAATCTAACTTCGTTATTCACACAAATTTTTCACTTTGGTTTCCCTTATGTATTCGTCGAGTTATACAAAAGACAAACACACTACGAAATATGCAAATTCATTTTGTGATTTGTGTGTGATGGTTCGTAATGTGCCGCAACATTGGCTGTGGTCTGCTGCTGATCGGTTCCCCGCTTCGTCATCAAAAAGTTAACAAGCACAAGAAACCTATCCTGTCCTGCATTTCACCAATCCTCTTATTTTGGTAATCAATCTCATCACTGGGACGTCCCCATCGTTTGGCAACTTTTTTTCCACTATCTATATTTTCATGGATTATCTCAAAAATTGTAGATAGTGAAACGAAATGTTGTGGCGGTGTATGGTACGACCAAGCAATGATTCTGATACCAAAATGAGAAGACTGACAACGTATGGGACAGCCTAGATGGCGCCTGTAGAGTAGTGGTTAGGTGTTTCGCTGTCGCAAGCAAGAGACCTGAGTTTGATTCCCGAGTGAGGGAGATGTTTTTAAATATCGAGTATGTCGGTCTTTCTGCTGGGTTAGAAAGCCGCCTCGTAAATGATCTAGCTTGTGTCGATTGGCGGAAGGGGAGGGGGTTATAACACCTATATTAGATATGGGGATAAAAATGACCCCATTCTGCCGACCTACTGGACGGGGTGTCATTGTGGAGAAGAGGATGAAGTTGAGGTCGGAAGGGGGGGGGGGTTCATATTGAAATGAAAGACTTACTCTCTTTTTTCTTCGGTTGTCCTTAGATATCGATG